AAATGAATGGTAAATGACATGAGATGGTTTTGGGATGCAACATCGCCTTTATTTCAGGCAAAATTTTCTGCATCTTGGTTGCTAGATGATAGTATTCCTTATTGGGAGAAGGCGCATGAGTAAACCTATTATAAATTTCATTCATTGTATATTATATTTCCTGATATATATATATATATATATATAGATATATTTCTATTTTTAATAATATGCTTTCCTCTTTAATTTAACTGATCTGGATTTCTATTACTATGGTTAATTGTTTATTTTCCAAAACTATTTTATGCTTTATTGGTCATTTATTTCATATATTCAACCCTCATAAAGCATTTAGGCAACTTTCTGGTCCTCATACTGCGACATAGCTAACTTTTTGGCTAAGAACATTTAGTTTTTAGCTGCCAAAGGGCTAGTGGTGCTTGGAATTTGTTAGCTATAATGGTCAGAATTACCATTTTCCATACCATATTCATAAAAAAAAAATCAAAAGAAGGCTGGAGCATTGAATCTAATTAAAATTGTTGATTGTGCTTTGTTAAGATACCACCTTATTTTTCTTTATTATTTGATTTGTCATTGCAAAGTCTGTATTTGAACCTTCTGTTGTTTTCATATGTCATGGTTTCTTGGGCTTCTGATAGCCACATGTATTTCTCCATTGTTCTATCTGGCGTGGCTTATTATTATGCTTCATTTTTTCTTCCAGACTATTGGCTCTTTTCAGAAGAAGTACAGCATTGGTTCATTTGAGCTCCTGAGCAAAACAGCACCAATACAAGCTGCATCTCTTATCGTGTTGGGTCCATTCATGGACTACTGCCTCAATGGGCAGTCAATATTGAAGTACCACTTCTCTACTGGAGCATTAGTAAGTCTCATCCGTTTTTTTAAATAAAAACATACTAACAAAGCTCGGGAATTTACTCCATCTGATACTATGCTGCTAAAGAATTCATACTGGGAAGAAAATGGATTTCAATGTTGCAGAATATTTACTTGGGGCCATACGCAATCACTTTTTATTTTTTATATGGAGTATAATTTTAGTAGTAATAGATTTAGTGGGGGGTTTGTGACTTTGGGCGATCAAGTCATTAATGAGAGTACACATTTTAGATATATTGGGTTTATTGTTCAGAGTTATGGTGAAATAGATGGGGATATTATTAGTAGAATTCAAGTTGGATGGTTGAAGTGGAGGAATGCATCGGGCTTGTTGTGTGATAGAAAAGTTCCCCTCAAACTAAAGGGAAATTCTATAAGATGGTGGTGAAACCTGCAATGCTTTATGGTGCAAAATATGGTCATTAAAAGAGAAGCATAATATTAAGGTAAGTGAACGAGCATATACGTGAAAAAGTTGGAGTAGCTCCAATGGAAGATAAGATTCGAGAGAGTAGTCTTAGATGATTTGGTCGCATAAAACAGCGGACTTCTGATGACCCGGTTAAGAGAGTAGATGAATTAGATTTGACTTATGTTAAGTTCTTCAGCACAATTAATCCATTAAGCTCTGTATATTCCTTATAACACAGCATCACCTTTTTTTGGCACAATCTGGTTG